CGGGACGAGCCGCCAGCCCTGCTCCGAGGCATGTAAAAGCGGGGCAGCGAGGCCGGGGAGCAGCAAGCGACCAGCCGGGGCTGCGGGGCCGAGCAGGTGAGCCGGGCCGGGCAGGCACCGGGGACCAGTCCTGCACCAGCAGCGGCACCGGGAGCAGAGGCAGAGCTGAGCCTTACCTCACTTCACTGTTCCACAGGTTGCACCAGTTGCTGGGATCGCTGCACAAACGAGCAAAACGTCGTCCGAAATGGCAGCTGAGGTGAGGGTGAACTTTGCTTCTCCAGCAGGGTGGTCTCGGGGTGCTCTGGCAGATGCGAACTCAACTATGCGATAACTCCAGTGCTGCAACTTGCCATGCTTGTTCGGGTGCTTCTCTCTACTTGATTTGTTTTCCTGGGGTTTAAATGGAAAATGGGTAAGCAATCATATTTGTTGCAATATTTCTGACAACACACCTCTGATTCTGATGAAAACCCACAGTAGTGAATATAGACTTAGATACCTCGAAGATAGAGTTAGATACCTCTTCCCCATCTGAGTGCTTCGCTCCCAGCACTGGCCTTTCATGCCCCATCCCCTCTGCCACTCACCCCGGTGGACTGATTTCCCAGCGAGAAGCTGCAAAACTTTTGCTTTTTCAACTCCGATTTCCACCCCTGCAGCTCCTGCTGACAAACCTGCTTCAAAAATCGATCTCCGGCACCCCGTGCTTACACCCTGTCCTCGGTTGGACCTGATGATCTTAAAGGTCTCTTCCAACCAAAACGATTCTTTGATTCTCCTACTGTCCTCTCAGGCACGTTGGGTCAGGCAGTGGCTGGGGAAGGGGCTGCCCGGTTCACCGGCCCCGGCCCCGCTACCGGTCCGGCCGCCGCTGTCCATGGTAGCCGGGTGGGCGCCCCGGTGATGAGCTGCTTCGGAGACCTTCGGGGGGGTAGTTTGGGGCCGTGGGGTTGTTCGTTTTTTTTTTTTTTTCTTTCCTTTTCATTTTACCCTAACATTTGTAATACTGAAAGGTACCCAGACCTCCCTGTCTGGAGTCTGCGCCTTAAACGGTTTTGTGCTAATTTTATGCCAAAGCTTGCAAGAACATCCTGGACGATGGACGTGCTTCAAATGGTAACTTCAAACCCTTCATAGTTACAGGAGTGTTTTAGAGCCTGTGGCTTGTACTGGCCCACAGGTCTTTGAAAACTAAGTGTTTTCGTGTAGTCTCCCTAAGAGAGTGGGGTTTTTTAATTATTATTTCAAGTCACAGTAGATACTAGCTTTCACTATATCCCTGAATCCCCTACTTTTTTGGCCTGTCAAGAGACTATGAAAGGGTCAGTGATCAGCAGCTGCCTTAAAAGAGAGATCCATGCTGGTCTTGCACCATATTCCCTGATATTTGTTTTCAAGGATAGGACATGCTCCCTCCAGAGTCTTGTAGAACTAAAGTATCTTGGAGGATTCCTGAGCCAGACCTGACACCTGAAGGCCTAAATTCTAGTAACAGTGACATGTTCTCCACCTCTAAAACTACTTGCCAAAGCTCTTAAAGTCGAGGACTTCTCTGCTTAATGGTACAAAACTGAAAAAACATTCCTGAGTATGTCCTCAGTTTTCCTTGGATAAAGAGTGGGATGGACATTAACTGATTTTTAGGTGATAGGATCAGTAAGTCTCTTGAATGTCTCTTAACTTCATTACTTGCAGGGGGATAAAATGTTGGGAGGAAGGTTTGTTGGAAGTACAGATCCAGTCATGGAGATGCTCAGCGCTTCCATTACCACTGATCAGAGACTGGCTGAAGTTGACATCCAGGGGAGCATGGCTTATGCCAAAGCCTTGGAGAAGGCTGGGATCCTGTCTAAAACTGAGCTGGAGAAGATCCTGAGCGGCCTGGAAAAGGTATTTCTTTCCTTCCCAAATTGTCATGCGTGCTGGAATGAATGGCTTCTTATCTGACAGCATCATAGAAGACTCCCTGATTTGCTGTACTAAAAAGCATCTTTAAATGTCCTCAGGTGCTATTCCTTAGAGGTAGGCATGCGCTGAAGTGCTTTGTGAAAGGAAGTGCTGTCCTAAATCATGGACATGACAGGCCCGTGTGTATTGCACTTGGTACACTTGGAGTCGTTCTGGGCAGGGGATTGATGCTCCGGGTGCGTCCCGCTAAAGGCACCAAAGCCCACCAGCAGGATGTGAAGCGGCTGACAAGACCCCAGTGACAGCCCGAAGCCCTGATGTGCGCGTTGTCAATGCTCATTGACTGGGAATGAGCTGCCTCCGTGAGGTGTGCTCAGGGTGACCTGTCCGCCCTCCTCTTCAGACTGAACGTTCCCCAGGAATTGTTTCAGTATGCATTAGGAATACTCTTTTTCTGCTGGCACTCGGGATCCTTTTGAGTCTGGCTGCCTGAGTTAGTAGGAGGCAATGCAGAGCATTGTATAGGGGCGAAGAGAAGTCAGCAGCTAAGCGCGTTTTTAAAAGATCCATTGTTGTTGCTCATCCACCATGGACAATGGTGACTCTATACAATGTTTGTATAGGAAAATCTTGGTGGACGATGCTAAAGCAATCACTGACATTTCAGCTCACCTCCTCATTGCAATGCTCAAATCCTCCAATAGCCATAACACCGCAGGATCATCACAGGTAGAGGGATGAATCCCACAACTGCAGTACAGAATACCAGGATATAGCAAGCAGCCAGCCTTGGCCTCAAGGAACAGGAATGCCAGAGCTGGTGTGAGCCTTAGCAGTTTGGTTTCCATTGGGACGGCACAAGTTGGTATTTGCTGGGGACAATTACAGCCCTCATGCGCAGCAGGGTAACAGTAGTGGCTGACTGGTGTTTCTGCTGATGTTTGTAGATCTCTGAGGAATGGTCTAAAGGAGTCTTTGTGGTGACCCAAACTGATGAGGATATCCACACTGCCAACGAACGCAGACTAGGAAGAAGCAGGAATGATCAGGTATGTACAGATCTGGTTGTTTTTACTCCTTCTGTATTCTTCCCCCATCTCAGTTCCTTAATCAAATATCTTTATGCCATCTTTCACATGCTGTGACACTCTCCAGCACATCCTCCCTCGGGCTTTTAAATAGTGACACTGCAGTGACTCATCTGCCCGGGGGAATGGGCTCTGCAGGATGGCTTCCCAGTGGTATAAGCCCACAAACTTCCACTGACATCCTTTAAAGCCTACAGAAACCGTGACTTTACTGGCTGGGGGCCATGCAACTTTCAGGATCAGTCCTTCTACTGATGACCGACTTGTGACAGTTGGGGATTTTTTGATCCAAAGTTGTCAATACCCAAAAAGTCCACTGAAAAGAACGGGTTTGGTCCTGTTCATGGAAAGCAAGATACAGCAGCTTTGACAAATCAGTGACCAGGGACACATCTGGTAAGAGAAAGATGTCCCTTCGCATCACACAGAACGAGGAGAGGATAACTCTGCCAAGGCTTTCTGCTGAAGAATATTTGGTCACTAAGTATGTCACATTCTGCTTTGACTGACTGTGGCCAATCTCGTACAGGTTGTGACTGACCTGAAGCTGTTCATGAAGAATTCCCTCTCTGTCATCTCCACTCACCTCCTGCAGCTCATTAAGACCCTGGTGGAACGCGCTGCCATGTAAGTCCTTTTGCATATCCACGGCCTCGGCCTTGCAGGGGCAGGAGACTTCTGGGCTTGCTCTTTGATTGACACCAATCAGGGCATCGGCAGGGCCTTCTGCGGAAGACGTTACAGACAGGCAGCCTGTGATAGCACAGGGAAAGACAACAGACCCTCTCTCCACAGTTCACATCACAGACACCTTCCCCTTCCCCACTGTATCCTGGCAAAGGAATCGAGGTGGGAGGTCCACACAAGAAGGTGCCAAATCCATCTGAAGGAGTGGGGAACTTTAACATGTTTCGAGTTGTTACGTATGAGAAAAGCTCAGCTGTGATAACTCCTGTCTAACTCTCCTTCTCACAAACCACACTCTCAACCGGTGGTGGACTGGGGAATCTTTGCCAGCTACAGAGGGATTACTGTACCAGCAAGTCTCCAGGGAGGCCTAGGGCAGGCACACCACACTGGAAGATCTAAACCCAGCGTGCTTAGGTAGCAGGTGACGGGGAGAGGAAGACATAGATCAAAATCAGCACAACACAGGCTGAAGAAGCTCTCTTTGTGAGCTTGCCAGGAAACCCTGGAGTGTACCCACCACTCTCCTCTATCCTGGCAGCTGCTGCTCACCTCTTTCTCTCCTCTCCCATGCAGAGAAATCGATGTTATCTTGCCCGGCTACACCCACCTGCAGAAAGCTCAGCCCATCAGATGGAGCCAGTTCTTGCTCAGGTAACCACCTTTCACACTTGGCTGGAGGAAGCCTTCTCCACGCTTGGGGCCCTGCTCAGCTGGAGCCCAGAAGTGCGTCATCCTCTGAGGGGACAGCCCAGGGTGGTGACAAACCAGCACTAACCTTGCAAACTGGAATAGGAGCTCCCCGTGTTCCTTTGTGGCTCTGACTAACCTGGGACTCAAGAACTGAGTGGGCAGTGGAGGCCGACTCCCTGTATGCTCCATCCTTTGGCCAGAGTTACAGTGCAGCTAATGGGGTCACATGGAGAAGCTTGTATGGCTGCTAGCTGTTCCAATTCAAAGGGCCTGCATGCCTAGTCTCCATTTCAAGTCTTTTCTGTTTGAGACAGGATTCCAGGGTCCAGGTGTGGCAGCATACTGCTTGGGAAGGAAAGGGACGTTTTCTGACTTCAGGTGCTTCATCTCTCATGTCTTTTCATGTCCTTTCCTAGCCATGCTGTTGCTCTGACCCGCGATTCTGAGCGCCTGGGAGAGCTGAAGAAGAGGATCAATGTCTTGCCTTTGGGAAGGTAAGGTCTACTATTTGTGTAATCACTGGGCCTCACTTTGCTCTGCAAAGTCTTCAGAGGTGCATTCCCTGCTTCCTAGACCTCAGTTTTGGTTGGAGTGTGCAGGGTATCAGGCATGACTTGTGTTTCTTTCTTCCCTGGCAGCGGTGCTCTGGCTGGAAACCCTCTGGAAATTGATAGAGAGCTTCTGCGTAGTGGTAAATGTCTCCCTATGACCGAGTGGCACAGGACTGCTTGTAATATCTAGGAGGGAGGGAAGCATTGATACGTGTCCCCCAGTGACACTATAATGCACTGTCCTGGAGCTAAACCCTTTCTTTTATAAGCCTTTTTACTGCAATGAGACAGGCAATGCCCGTGAGGTGGGAGCAGGAAGAGCCACCTCTGCTGCATGCTGGATGGCTGGGGCTAATAACAAAGACTCCACTTAGTGTAAAACTTAAGTATGTTTGTGTTCCTGGCACTACTCGAGGGCTCACAGTTGCTTGCATGCTGGGGAATCCTGCTGCATTCAAGCTCCAGTCATGCCAACCCTGACCTCTGTCCATCACCTTCCTTACAGAGCTGGACTTTGCTTCCATCAGCCTGAACAGCATGGATGCCGTAAGCGAGAGAGACTTTGTCGGTAAGCACAACTCAATCACATCTTCCCACCACTATTTTAGAAGCAGGCTTCTGAGACCTTCCCAGTTGACCTCCCTTAACAAGGGGACTGATATCCCTCACTAAGAAGTATTTAGACAGAAAATCTGTTTGCTCGTGTTTAAACTCCAGTCAGGGCTCTCAGAGTTGTCAAGCAAACAAGCACATTTTTCACCTCCTGATTTCCTGCCTTCTCTGCAGTGGAGTTCCTCTCTGTTGCCACCCTCCTCATGATCCACCTTAGCAAGATGGCTGAAGATCTCATCATCTACAGTACCAGCGAATTTGGCTTTGTAACCCTCTCTGATGCTTACAGGTAGGCACTCTAGTCATTGCTTTCAATAAAGCAATAAAATCTCAATAACATTTAAAATCTGAGAAAATGTTTGTAGCATTCCCCTGCCATATCTCATATTGTATGTATTACTGTATCTTATTAGAAAAAAATTAATTAGTTATCCAAAATACATCTTAGAATAATAGAGGGAAAGTTTCAGTCCAATAGTAACTACTGGCTTTGCCATAATCCAAAATTATTGCCCTAGCCTGCTATTGTTCCAGGAATAGGTAAAAATGTCATTTAAATATGATCAACCACTTTCTGTTTACTTTGCATTCATTCAAGTGACTACATCAGAAAGAACAGGTTATTTTGTGAACAGCCAAACTTAGCTGCTTTCCTGCAGCTTTGAATCTCATGCTTGGATCGTGCCGTGTCCCAGATCTCTGTGAGCTCTGGTAGAAGCTTTTCCCAAGGTTGGGGCATTAAGGGTTACTCTTGTGTTGTTTATATGCTTTCAGATATTACAGCTTATGAGGTTTATACTGCAGCTTCTTTCTCAGTGAGAACATCATCTGTGGACTTCTCTCCTCCGTGGTCAGCAAATTTCCACAAAACCTACAGGAACCCAGTAGTCTGTGATCACAAACCTCTGTCAAGCGCGGTTGATTTTGGCCAGGAGGTTCCAAAGGTACAAGGAGGACAGAAAGTAACAGGGAACACACACACATGTGCTGAAGTCTGATTTCCATCAGGAACATGACTAAAAAGCTATTTTTATGGAAAAGTTTCCAAGTCTTTCTGAGGACCAACCCTTTTACATTCTTTGAATCTCTCACAAGTAACTAAGAGAGGCACCAAGACCTCTTCTTCAAGAGAAAGAATTTAGTAAAACCCAGCATCAAGTTAGCTCACGGTTCCTGAAAATCGGGTCTAATTCTGCAGGACTCCGGTTTTGACTACTGTGCATACCACTTGCTTACCACGTAGAAGCCAGAATACAGAAAGGACAACATTCATCTAACACAGATTTAAACCACCAGAAAACCACACCATCCAATACGTGAATGTGAACTTCCACAGACAGGAGAAATTCAGGGTAAATAAAGAATAAAGTTCGATATCTGAGAGTTCTTATTCTCACAGCATACTAACAGCAGCAATAAATCTGAAGTAAAGGGCTTAGATAAGTCAATACCTAAGCTCTTAGCTCTTATTTAGAGAGATCTCAACAGGGATTAAATGAGAAAAAAGGGAGCTTAAAAAAAGTAGAAGAGTCATCATAAGATGAGGACTGACATGAACTCTTCAATATTAAAAAATCCATTTGAGGAACTCCGCTTTGAGCTTCTCCCTGAGATAGGACAGAGTATGAAACAAAACAGATTCTTTCCACTTTGAATCAAAACCAAATCCAAAGATACAGCATTGTTATCAATGCTAGATAACAGACAATAATTGCATACTTCACTTAAATTATAGCCTAACACTCTTATTTTTCCTAAATAACATATCAATTATTCTTTTCTTCAAAAACACTTTCTCTCCTAAACAAATTTCAGTTCAGAAATTGCTGAGACACCCATTCAGATATTGTTACCCTGCCTAAAGTAAGTATCAGAGAGAAACTTGGAGCCGTGATTTCTTTGGATGCAGAATACTGCTCAGTGAGGGCCTGAGATGAGGCCTTCTGTTCTGTCCCCAGGTGATGATCAGTCTGGGTCAACAAACACGAAAGCTGGAAACCCATTCTTTACATGTATCCCAAGTAGTGGAACTGCTGCCAGGTGGACTTTGTAGTAATTTACAGGTGGAGTTTTACCTCCTAACGCCTCCCCTCTTCACACCCCAGAAAATCCAGATTCACATTGCATTGCCCTAAGAGAAAGCAAGCCAACCAAAAAAGACAGCACATCCATTCTTTCCTTTGAGGCTGCACGCCAGTTACCTGGTCACTGACTGCACTCTCTGCTTCTCACTGCAGATGCCATTCAGACAAGCCCACACTGCCTCTGGGAAGGCCGTCCACCTCGCTGAGTCTAAGGGCACCACCATCAACAATCTCAGCCTGGATGACCTGAAGAGCATCAGGTTTGTATCACAGTTATTTTGCCACGACTGCCCTCAGCTGGCAGGTATCAGCCTCCCTTCGTATGGGCCTCCTTACGGTGCCCTTCCTCAAAATGCCTGGGCCAGACAGCACCCCAAAATCCCCCTGGCCGGAATACCAGTGCTGCTACTGCTGGGCCTGAAATAACTGAAGGGGGACAACATCACTACCATTCTGCTCCACGAGGGCATGGGCGGCAGCTATGGGAGGGACTGGAAGGAACGCATGCCCCGACCTGGAGGCGCCAGCCCTCCAGAGGAGTTTGGCTCCAAACTTCCTCACTCTCCCCTGGGAGCTGACTCTTTGGTCTGCCACAAGCAGCTACTGCCCGGCCGTAGAAGGGCAGACGCAGGGCTGCCAGAGGCCTTTCCCCTTGGAAAAAGGCTGCATCTCCACTCCCTCACCCTCTCTGCAGGCAGAGAGCATGTAAAGGCAGCCAACAGCACCCAGCGCTCTCCACTGACACCTCTTCCCTTTGCCTCCCCAGCCCCCTGTTTGGCAGCGACGTCTCCCAGGTCTTCAACGTTGTCAACAGCGTGGAGCAGTACACGGCCATGGGTGGTACCGCCAAGAGCAGCGTGACTACCCAGATCGAGCAGCTGAGGGAGCTGCTGAAGAAGCTGAAGGAACAAGCTTAGAGTGTGGGGAGATATCCCGTGGATGCAGCGTTGTGCCTATCACACTAATCTGGAGTTAATAAACACTGGGGTGTATGTAGTTCACTGAAACTCGTGTCTTGTGTCTTACTTCTAAGGGGCTTAATTGAGCTGGGCTTCCTCAGCCCTCGTGAGGCTTGGGGAAATGTTCACTGCCGTGAAAGAACGGGGGTTCTTCCCTCCCTGGCAGTGGAGCTGCGTTATAGTGTTTTCCATCTCTCGGGTGCTGGTAGGTAGAGAGCAGCAGGAGTGTCTGTCTACAAGAGACCGAAAAATGTGTCTGTTGGAGGGGAGGGTGGTGCACTAGGGAAGTGATCGTCCCTTTGTAATTGGCACCAGTGAGAATGCACCTCGAATACGGCCTGAGATGAGGCCTTCTGTTCTGTCCCCAGGTGATGATCAGTCTGGGTCAACAAACCCAGATTCACATTGCATTGCCCTAAGAGAAAGCAAGCCAACCAAAAAAGACAGCACATCCATTCTTTCCTTTGAGGCTGCACCCCAGTTGCCTGGTCACTGACTGCACTCTCTGCTTCTCACTGCAGATGCCATTCAGACAAGCCCACACTGCCTCTGGGAAGGCCGTCCACCTCGCTGAGTCTAAGGGCACCACCATCAACAATCTCAGCCTGGATGACCTGAAGAGCATCAGGTTTGTATCACAGTTATTTTGCCACGACTGCCCTCAGCTGGCAGGTATCAGCCTCCCTTCGTATGGGCCTCCTTACGGTGCCCTTCCTCAAAATGCCTGGGCCAGACAGCACCCCAAAATCCCCCTGGCCGGAATACCAGTGCTGCTACTGCTGGGCCTGAAATAACTGAAGGGGGACAACATCACTACCATTCTGCTCCACGAGGGCATGGGCGGCAGCTATGGGAGGGACTGGAAGGAACGCATGCCCCGACCTGGAGGCGCCAGCCCTCCAGAGGAGTTTGGCTCCAAACTTCCTCACTCTCCCCTGGGAGCTGACTCTTTGGTCTGCCACAAGCAGCTACTGCCCGGCCGTAGAAGGGCAGACGCAGGGCTGCCAGAGGCCTTTCCCCTTGGAAAAAGGCTGCATCTCCACTCCCTCACCCTCTCTGCAGGCAGAGAGCATGTAAAGGCAGCCAACAGCACCCAGCGCTCTCCACTGACACCTCTTCCCTTTGCCTCCCCAGCCCCCTGTTTGGCAGCGACGTCTCCCAGGTCTTCAACGTTGTCAACAGCGTGGAGCAGTACACGGCCATGGGTGGTACCGCCAAGAGCAGCGTGACTACCCAGATCGAGCAGCTGAGGGAGCTGCTGAAGAAGCTGAAGGAACAAGCTTAGAGTGTGGGGAGATATCCCGTGGATGCAGCGTTGTGCCTATCACACTAATCTGGAGTTAATAAACACTGGGGTGTATGTAGTTCACTGAAACTCGTGTCTTGTGTCTTACTTCTAAGGGGCTTAATTGAGCTGGGCTTCCTCAGCCCTCGTGAGGCTTGGGGAAATGTTCACTGCCGTGAAAGAACGGGGGTTCTTCCCTCCCTGGCAGTGGAGCTGCGTTATAGTGTTTTCCATCTCTCGGGTGCTGGTAGGTAGAGAGCAGCAGGAGTGTCTGTCTACAAGAGACCGAAAAATGTGTCTGTTGGAGGGGAGGGTGGTGCACTAGGGAAGTGATCGTCCCTTTGTAATTGGCACCAGTGAGAATGCACCTCGAATACTGTGTTCAGTTTTGGGCCCCTCACAACGAGACATTGACATGCTGAAGTGTGTCCAGAGGACGGCAACAACGCTGGTGAGGGGTCTAAAGCACATTTCTGATGAGGAGTGGCTGAGGGAACTATGGGTGTTCAGCCTGGAGAAAAGGAGGCTGAGGGGAGACCTTATTGCTCTCTAGAGCTACCTGAAAGGAGGGTGTAGCAAGGCAGATGCTGGTCTCTTCTCCCAGGTAACAAGGGATAGGATGAGATGAAACGGCTTTAAGTTGTGCCAGGGGAGGTTTAGGTTGAATATTAGGAAAAATTTTTTCACCAGAAGGGTTGTCAACCATTGGAACAGGCTGCCCAGGGAAGCGGGTGAGTCCCCATCCCTGAAGGTATTTAAAAGATGTGTAGATGCGATGCTTAGGGACGTGGTTTAGTGGTGGACTTGGTAGTGTTAGGTTAACAGTTGGACTTGATGACCTTAAGGGTCTTTTCCAACCTAATGACTCTATGATTCTATGCAGCACAAGGCTGGATCCAGCAGTGCCGGAACAGGCTACACAATGTGCTGAGGGAGGCTTGTCGATGTGCACAAAGAGGGATACCTGATACTGCATCTGCAACACATGCCACATCTCCAGCTATCGCTGCCCTCCTCACAGGAGTATACTTGCCCACCTGCCTGCCTTCTGGCAGGGGGACTAAGTGGCCAAAAGAAGTCTCCTCACCACCTGGCACCAAAACTTGAATAGTCTTAGGCAGGTCAACCCACACGTCATTCCAGCCCATCACAAAACTACCTTCGGCTCTGGTTTCCACCAAAGCACAGGAGTTGCATGGTCCCAGGGGAAGCTTTTTCCTCTGTGTGACCCAGGCCAAGGTAGCTGGAGCAGAATGCTTGAAAAGAGACTGGCATGGCTAGCAGCCTCTTACAAATCTTATACTATCTGCCTTCTGTCCTTACAAAAATATAACCAGAACGAAGACCAGGAAAAGCCTTACTTGGGGAATGAGAATGCAGCAACCTTGTGTCTTTCAACGGGTGAGAACATTTGATTAAACAAACACTTGAAACATTATTCCCCACTATTGTTCTGCAATGATTTCTGGATCGAATGTGCCTGCTGCTTGATTCAAAAGGTAGAGAAAGAACAGTTGTTTACAGGGAAGGTGGGGCAATTTTCATTAAACACCAAACCAGCTTGAACCCGGCACCCACAACACAGTAGCACTAGTTTTGTCAGGGACAATCTCTTTTCTATCACAGCATTTTAAAGGTGGCATTCTGCTCAGCACCCTGCCCTCCATGCTGACGCAGCAACACCTTACTGACTCAGTACTGCAAGACTCTGTAACCCACATAGGTAATGGCAGTAACGCAAGCATTGCCTCACCGTGCTTGGGTTCAGGGCTGTAGCACAGACAGCACTAACTGCCATGAGCTAAAGCTCTTGCCATTAACAAAGTACCCCAGCAGACACAAAGTGCTTTCACCCTACCTTTGTAGCATGTGTGCTTTAAACACGTGGGAGAACCAGCAACAGAAGTTCCTTTTTGCCAACACTTCCCCCCAACCTCAGTGTCCCCTTATTCTGGCCCTAAACCTGATCTCTTCTCCTGGCATTTAAAGAACAGCACGCTTCAATCACCACTCCATAAACCTCCGTTGCATTTGCTCTGTTACTTCCTGCTGTGTTTCTGTTTTGGCACTTGTGTCTCACTCTCCAGATAGGTTAGCTGTGGCCAGGAAATCACTTATGCACACTGAGCTGATAGAGGAAAGGAGCAAGAGAGGGAGGGGACACCAACAGTCAACACCAACAGAGTCAGAAGAAGCAATATCTCCACATCTCCACCTTACTGTTCGTTTTTTTTTTTTCCCTTCCATAAGCTTTTCTGATCTGTGCCACTCCCCTCTTTTTCCCTATTTGTATTTTCTAGCTCCCGCTCAGTACCTTCAGAGGCCTCAGCTGAACAGATTTTCTCTCGCTCCCAGCAGCAAATGTCCAGCATTGCTCCTCGTGACCAGTGCTCAGTAACACAGGGCCCTGCCAAACTGAAAGCAAAAGGGGAGTCTTAGCAGATTATCACATCTTGATTTCCTACTTAAATGAGTAGTTCATAACCACTAGTACTTCCCACCCATCCTTTTCTTAAAATTGTGAAATGATTTAGATTGGGAGGGACCTGTGGAGGTCTCTGAAGCTCCACAGACATTACAGGAGTGTGTGGTCCACAGTATCTTCCGACTTGCACCATCATCCTGCCACGGCTCATTGTGATTCGGGATTTTAAAGCCCTGTCCCTTACGACAGAAAGATCTGTATACACAGAAGGATCAGTGGTTTGGACACTACTCTGGACTTGGTCTTAAATACCTGCTCCATTACCAATCACAGGACAGGACTGGAGCCAAGAATTCATGTAGGCTGATCATGAGCTACTGAGGCTCTGCAGACAGCTATGTAATTCTGATCTGACACCCAAGCAGATAACAAACCTACAGAAGGGCTCTTGAAACATTACAAAAAGTAGTGAACTCTTCACTGGATCCCCCAAAGGAAAAGATCTCTAACTAGCTTTTACACTTGGCAAAAATACTGCTGAATATTTGGTCTCCTAAACAAATTGCTGTGCTTGGTCTTTTTATCCCCTAGCTCTCCATGGAAGAAGCTGAGTCAATAACACTTCTCTGCCACCACAGGAGAGTTGTGAGGACAGACACACTGCAGGACTGCAACGTCCCCTGCAGGCACCATGGGTGAATTTGAGACAGCAATATCCAAACGTGTCCGTCTAGACTGGACTCCTTTTGCCAGGGGCAACATGAACCAACTTCACTGTGATTCTGCAACCATCTCTACTCCTCATCCTACAGAGAGATACACATAAATGGAAAAAAATACAGAGAGGCCTGGAACTAATGGAACTGAAACTGGAGCTTACACTGTTATATTTAACCATGTAACTGTTGAAATACAAATAATATTAAGAAATCAAAGCTGTTGGGTATCACATATACATAGGGTTAATGATGTGAAAACCCAAATAGCAAAACAGATACAGGGGAACTCGGAAAGTGCCACGGAGGTCCCATTTCCCCTTTTCTAGCCCTGCAGGTCACAAATGGTCTGTGAGGGAGAGGTGACAGGGCCAGCGGGATGCCCTCTAACCCCTCCTGGCTGCCCTATCTTGGGCACCCTCCCCCTTCCCTTTTTCACTTTGGGCAATTTCTGCACAGTTTCTTCAGACAGAAAGATGTACAATCTTTGCATGGGCTGTGCATGTTCCACGCAGCCAGGTGAGCCCATGTCACAAACACCACAAGGTAGAGCCTCTCCCTGTATATGATTCATTCTGGATGTAAATCTAGCCCTTACTATTTTGCCAAATCCTCAGCAACCTCCTGTCAAAGCCCAGAATAAGGACAAAGACACTCATGAAAGATGAAGGCGTCAAGAGAAGCGTTAAAAATGAGGGACTTCAGAAGAGGAAGGAATCTGGCAACAGAACGGTGTTCTTAGAGTAGACAGCAGGATGCTCTGTGCACCCGCAAGCCTGGAACTCTGAAAGGGGACAGGGTCATTACTCCAGAAGAAAATGATCATAAAGGGAAATGTACAAGAAGCAGTGAATTAATAGCTGGCTATGAATCCAGATAGAGAATTTGAGCCTTTTCCTGGACTGATACTGAAGGCAGCACACTGGAAACCCAGCTGCAAAGAGGTACTTGCTCATTCAGGCTGGGTGGCCAGAGGCTGCCTGATGCCACGTCACTCTGCCTGTGTCCTCTCCGCTACTGAAAGCAATCCCACTGTGCCCTAGACTTCAACTCAGAAAGGGGATGAAGAGTAGGGCAGAGAAGAACATAGGAAAGACATCTAGACTAGGTCCCTTCCCACCTGAATTATCCTACGGTCCTGTGACAACAGGGCTGGTTAAAGGGCAGAAAAACCCCAAAGGGGACAAGAAAACTGGGATGCACTCCCTGCTCTCCCTCAAAGGCTCTGACAGCGCACAGAGAAAGAAAAAGATGCCGCAGCAGCGCACTCCCTCCCGCAAAGCAGATCCACCGCTGCGCCGCGGGGAGGTTGGAGGGGAAAGAGAGGGGGGACCGGATCGGGGCCGGTCCCGGGGACACTCCGCCCCGCCGGGGAGCGCCCAGCCGGGGCTGCGGGGCCGAGCAGGTGAGCCGGGCCGGCGGGCAGCGGGGATCCGTCCGGCACCGGCACCTCACCTTGCCGTTCCACAGGTGGCATCAGTTGCCGGGATCGCTGCACAAGCGAGCAAAATGTCGTCCGAAATGGCAGCCGAGGTGAGGGTGAACTTTGCTTCTCCAGCGGGGTGGTCTCGGGGTGTTTTGGCAGACGTGAGCAAATCAGAGTTAAAAATCCAAGTCCTTTCCTTCAGGCTCTTCCCTCTACCCGGCAGAGACTAATAACCGACACGGTTCATTCCCGCCGACTCGCGTTTAGGCAGGAGGTACTTCACAGCAGCTTGTGTAAACAATTCTCTGTACAAAAGCTGCATTTTCAGTTTCTGTGTCTGGTAGGCGAGACGTGACTAGTCATCTTAGCAAGTCACGCTTTCTGCCTTCCCAAAGGCTACTGCAACCCTGGCCTCTTCTGCGCCGGATTGCACAGAAGTGTCCATCAGCCATCAGACTGTACTAGCCACTTCTCTAGTCCTGGAGCGAGCTAAAGTTAGTCTTTCAGTTTTGATTTCCTGATTGCAAATGTATCTGTTGCAATGTTTCTGCTGACCTACCTCTTACTTTGGTGGAAACCCCTAATACCGAAGAGATGCCTTGATATACCTGTTCCCCATTCACGCTCAGCCTCTGGTACTGCCCTGTACTTTAGCATCCCCTACGCCACATTCCTGCGGGCACCAGCTGCACCATGACGACCTCTAACACTTTTCTTTTTCAATTCTAATTCCCCCCTCTGCCTTCCCTCAGCTTTCTGACAAAGCTGCCCTAAACATATCAAAAAACACATGTCTACACTCTTAACTCTGTAAGCTCTCTCCTGCTGTCCTCTCAGACGTTGTTTCAGCAGGGATCGTGTGGAGACAGTCACTAGGGAAAAAGTTTCTAAGGTTACTCAAGAGTGCTTTGTCTGACTAATAAAGCCCTGGCACAGATAAACTTGCAACTGTCCCGCCAGCTTCTTGCTGTCCATGGTAGTTATAGTGTACAGCATGAGAAGAGACTGACAGAGGTACTCAAAAAATCAAGTAGATTAGTAATTATTATCCACCTTGCAACGGCAATTGTATTTAGGCCCTTCCTTTAAATGTTCCCCATTTCTTTTTGTGCCTGCTAGAGCTGGAGAGTTGCTTTTGAAATCTTGGATAAGTTGTAAGGTCTCTGCACGAGTAAAATTCCTACCAATTTCAGTGCAAGTTTGCCAGAGTTAAGGCTTCGGGGGGTGTCCTACCAGGGTTGCTGAATCACTGGTGGAAAAAAAGGTAACATGCACCCTACTGGGATGCATAGCTGGAATTGTGTACCTGTCTTTGGTCATCCAGTGAAGCAGTTAAGTAGATGACACATTCAAGTGCATGAGGTTACTATATGAATCTTGGTTTGTGTAGGAAAAAAAACAAAACTTTTGTTCCTATGTGTTTTAAAACCTTCTTCTTGTTGATTTATTTTTCTGAACACTCCTGATGCAGAAAGGTACCCAGACCTCCCTTTCTGGATTCTGCACCTTAACCAGTTTTATGCTAACCTTATGCCAAAGCTTGCAAGCACATCATGGACTCTGAAGATGCTTCAAACGGTAACTTCAAACACTTCATAATGTGGCTTGTGCTGCCTAGGGCTCTTTGTCAATCAAAGAAAAATCTATTAGCTCAACAGCACAAAAAGGACTTGGAGAATACTAGCTTTCACTATATTCCTTATTGACTGCTTTACTTCCCCACCCCACCCTCACCCCCCGCGCTTTAAGAGGCTATCAAAGGGTTGTTGACCTGCAGCTGCCTCAAAAGAGAAGCCCATGCTGGTCTTGCAGCATATGCCCTGGTACTCATTTTAAGGACTCCCTGCAAAGTCCTGCAGAGGTAAAGTATCTTGGAGGACTCCTGAGCCAGACCTGACTCTTCAAGGGCTCAATGCTAGTGACGGGGACACATTCTCCACCTCTTCAACTACTTGCCAAAGGTCCTGAAATCCAGGGGCCTTTCTGGGCAGTGCTACCACACTGAAAAGACAAAGCTAAACCCAGCGTTTATATTGGATAAACAGATCACTGGATGTTACATGTATAGGACCATAACTGAAGTTATTAGGCCTCTTTAATTTGCTTCTTCCTCTCTCTCAGGGGGATAAACTTTGGGGAGGGAGATTCAGTGGAAGCACAGATCCAATTATGGAGATTCTCAACGCTTCCATTACCACTGATCGGAGACTGGCTGAAGTTGACATCCAGGGGAGCATGGCTTATGCCAAAGCCTTGGAGAAGGCTGGGATCCTGTCTAAAACTGAGCTGGAGAAGATCCTGAGCGGCCTGGAAAAGGTATTTCTTTCCTTCCCAAATTGTCATGCGTGCTGGAATGAATGGCTTCTTATCTGACAGCATCATAGAAGACTCCCTGATTTGCTGTACTAAAAAGCATCTTTAAATGTCCTCAGGTGCTATTCCTTAGAGGTAGGCATGCGCTGAAGTGCTTTGTGAAAGGAAGTGCTGTCCTAAATCATGGACATGACAGGCCCGTGTGTATTGCACTTGGTACACTTGGAGTCGTTCTGGGCAGGGGATTGATGCTCCGGGTGCGTCCCGCTAAAGGCACCAAAGCCCACCAGCAGGATGTGAAGCGGCTGACAAGACCCCAGTGACAGCCCGAAGCCCTGATGTGCGCGTTGCCAATGCTCATTGACTGGGAATGAGCTGCCTCCGTGAGGTGTGCTCAGGGTGACCTGTCCGCCCTCCTCTTCAGACTGAACGTTCCCCAGGAATTGTTTCAGTATG